GAAAGAAGAAAAAGACAGGAGTGGGAACTATTTCCCAGAAAGCTTAGCGACATGTTTCTGTATCCTGAGATGGAAGTGCGTCACATTTATCCGACTCTGGTGTTTTATTAAGGAAAATGTTTATTTTAAAGCCTGAGGATAAAGTCCTGTTCACACTAAATGTTTCTGAGCTGAATTCATTGTGAAGTTTAATAAAATTCATCATCAGATCAGAAATTTTGTTCATGCAATTTGAAACAAAAATTAAAATTATTCTAAAGTAAAATAAGTAGATATTTTAACTTAATATTGTGAGTAAAATAATAGAGAAATGTGGCTCTTTAACCAGGTGAGGACAGATTTTTTTCTTGCATTTTGTGAAATAAATGTTTTATTTAAATTGCAGCATTAAGTTAAAACTCACAATTCAAGATTAATTTACTTAAAAAATGTTTAGACACCTTGTTTCTTGTTGTTAAATCAACTTCATGAACTTTAATTTCTGAGTTAAAACAAAAACACTTTTCTTGTTTGTGGGGATTTGGTGGCCGATTGTTCCCAGCTGTCCCTCGTTTCCCTTGATTACCCTCCCTGTGTATTTGTACCCACCTGTGTCTCTGTCAGGTCCTTGTCTTACTGTTGTGCTGTACTTTTGTTGTTCCTCAGATGCCAACAGAGTCAGAGTTATTGCCACTGCTCGCCTGCACTGCCTGGATTTCTTGTGTTCTGTCAATTTGTCATTAAATCATCATTCTCCACCTGCGTCCTGCCGCGTCCATCCTCACCACTTCACACCCCAACTCATGACATTGTCGACTTAAATTACATTTTCAAGGCAGCAGGTGGACTTTAATTTTCAAGGTAAACCAACTTCAAATGTTTTACAGTGATGATTTTACTGATTCATATTGGAAAACATGTTTCAAAGAAAAAAACATGCAGAAAAGTATTTATACTTTTTATTTAAGCAGAATTCATTTCTGATTTTTCACACTACAGACAGAAAAATCCAAGTAATGACCTGCAACAGTAACTAAAATAATAAACAAGTAAATGGCAAAAATAACAAAGAAAAAACGGCAAATAATTTCATACTGCATACTGATGTAGGTGGATAATATATTAACAGAGAAAACACATTAAAATAAATTAAACAGAAAGCAAATAGTCTTGTTATAATTTGCATTAAAATAACAAGAATCTTGTTTTTTAGTGTTGATCTTTATAAAATAATTACAAGATAACTGAAAAAGTTTTCCGCTGTCACCTTTTAATCATTTTCCTTTTCACTATCGTCTGTTTTCCCATTTCTTCTTAATAGCAGCTGCGATCTTGGAAAAACAAACATCACACCACACCTTCACTAACTAAACTTGATCCTTTGCATTCTTCTCTGCTTGCTGCACCAAGGAGGATGAACAATGTCCTGCACAGAGCTAAATTTAGAGCAGGTCAGAAACATGAGTTTGCAGAATGTGACGGGTGAGGTAAAGGTATAAAGACTTCACCAGGGGATTTCCAGAAGCCTGTAGCTTTAAATAATAAACTATTGTTTATTTTGAAGACTCCTGGTTTATTTGATGGAATACAACAAATATAAATGAATTTATTTAATTACAAACCACACTGTGGCTGCTTTCAGCTGATTAAAAGGAGAACACTTAGACTTTGATTAGGCCTTCCTGCTGACAGATGAGCACAGGTTTGATTCCAGGATGAGTAGTTTGGTAAACGGATGAGTTCATGATTGAGCAGCTGCCCGGTCATTGTCCCTGCAAAACAAACTGAAACCGCCGCCTCTCCGCTCCAGAGCCCCTTGGCGGCATGACGCCATTGATCTCCAAGGCACCACACCTGCCAGGTTCATCCAGTTTGTTACACGAAAGTTTCTCTTTGCTTAATAATTCATGACAGGGTGGAAAATGCTGCTGGTTTTTTATACCGAAGCTTAGATCTTCTAAACTTGTACCAAGTGTGCTTTTAATAGATCCAGCAATAGATGGATATGTTTTTATGGCATGCATAGACATTTCTCAAGACACCATTTAAGGATTGCTTGAAAATTTTGCTCCTTGGAGGCAAATTACACTGCAAAACCAAAAAACTTGGAAGCAAAAAAGTATTTTTGTCCAGTTTCTGGTGCAAATATCTTGAAATAAAACAAAACGAACTTACAAGTAACTTCTCAGAAGGAAACTGAAGCTTGTTTTAAGTCAATAATTCCTTAATATTGATGAAAAAGTATCAAAAGTATCAATATTAAGGAATTACTGACTTTAAATAAGCTCATATTTGTTGCTGAAAAGTTATTTGTTAGTTTTTTTCTGGAGAGTGATGTGAAGAATGCCAGATCAACATACATATTTAAGAGAATGGTAAAAGTTAGTTTTTTGAAGAAATATGACGTAGCATAATGTGAATCCTTATCGTTTTTTGAGTCGATGTTTTTGTATACGTTTTACTTAAATCTATTGTTTTATTGCATTCTTGGGACAAAAGGGGAAGATATAAGATTATTTTTCCTTCTTTCTGTTGCCTTTCATTTTATTGATTTGTATATTTTCCTCTATTGTATACAATTGTTTTGTTTTTAATAAATGAATAAAATATTTCAAGTGTACTAAGATATTTACACTAGAAACTAGACAGAAATACTTGGTAAGATTTTTTGTTTTTGCAGTGTTTTAGTTGTTATATCTCTTTATCTTTTGTGTTACTTTGATTTTGTGACAATATTTAAAGCTTTGAATAACTTTAAACAGCGGCATCCATTATTACCGCTGTAAACAGTGAGCTGCTCAACACGTGGCTCACTTTGGGAACTTAAACCATTCTGATTGATATTTAATTAGCAAAAAACCCCAAAAATCTCAGCAAAAAAAATAAAAAATAAAAAAATCAAAATTGAACATCAAGACCTGTAGCTTTAATGCTGTTTGTCTTCACTTACAGGGAACTTTCCGCCCAACGTGAGACACGACTGCAGCATTTGAAAACCCGGCCTTATGCAAACCCAGAATGCAAACTTCATCAGACAACAACCCTTGTAATTGTGTGTGATACATAAGACATCCTCTGTGTCCGGCGACTGTCAGATGTTCCAGTGCTGCCTGTATGTTTATACTCAAAATGCCACCATTTGTACTGTTGGGTGCACTTTTCATACGTCATGAACAGAAAAAAGAAATCCAATCCCTGTATAGAAATACCGATGACACAATACTACACAGCGTCTGATTTGTACCTAGAAGTTAATCCTAGGTTATGTCAGCTAATTTGCTTCTTTATTAATTAGACATCTTAGATTATGTCCTGAACTTCGTATAAAGATTTGTGACGCTTGTTAGCTGCGAGACAAAGATCTTCACATGACACAGCAAAAAAAAAAAAACCCGTTTAAACCAGTTTTATTATCTGCTTTCTAAGTCAGACAAAAATAGATTTGCATTAATGCAAAACATTTTTGTCGAGTCATTGGACTGATCATTGCACAATGGTGCAGAGCATATTTTAAAGGAAAACAGAGAAATGGAAAAGAATATGATATAAACCAGAGAACTAAGGCCCCGATTACACGACAACGATTTCGGGGGAAAACGGAAGAGTTTTGTTGCGTTTGTAGTGCGCATTTACACGAAACCACCGAATGTTTTCTCTGACAACGGCACAGATTGAAAACGGGTTCCAGAGTGCGATGTTTCTGAAACGTACCGTTTTCCGTTGTCGTGTAAACCGAGAAAACGGATCTTTTCTTCCAGAGAATCCCCAGCTCATGCATAGTATGACGCAAAACATAGCTGCTTCCTACAATCCACAGAAGAAGAAGAAACTACTCACAATACTGGTGTTACTGTTTCCCCATTTTAAACACATGCGCACTTAGTTTCAAAGAACCCTGCAGCAACTAGGGGCAGCGAGACCATTACACGTTTTCGATGTGTACCTTTACTGTGTAAACACAGATCGTAATTAGAACGTTGTCGTGTAAACGCCCCCTAAGACGAGCTGTAACAGATAACATAAAACTATATTCACAAAAAATATTTAAAGGCTATCACACATAAAAGACGATGTGGATCGTCCATATAGCTCATTGCAATCCGACTTCAAATGTGTCAAAAATGTCGAGAACATGCAGAAAAAGACGGCACAAAGGTCAGTTTTTAAGAAAAGGTTCCTAAAGAGGCTTAAGGAATATTTTAAACAGGTTTCAACAACTTTGACGTGTACTTTGTAAACCAAACTGCATCGGGTTAGGGTGTTTGAATAATTAAAAATCTTGAAAATTAACTTTTGAACAACCTCCAGAAGGCTTTGGGAGCTCCGTGGGCGACTTTAGAAGATCACTATAAACAGACTTGGTGATCTCTTTCAGAAAAATTCAAAAGAGGAGATTTGCATTCAAAACTTTTGCATATTGTTTACATTTGAACTCACTTTGACATCAGGTCTCAGTTCAGAACGGTGTAGTGTGATGCTTTATTTGTCTCTGTGTTGATATGAATGAAAAGTAATTCATTTTCAGTTTTTAAATCAGTGCAGCAGTTCAGACAGATTCCACCTCGTCCACTTATGTCTAAAATTGACCCTGGCTCTCAAATAATGCAGTCGAGTTTAGTCGTTTAAACTGGTTAAAGATTCCCATCTAAACCCCCCCAGCAGATTGCAGCATTAACTCCCCTTTAACGATAACTATTTCTGCCATGTGAGGTTTAAATAGTTCCAATCATTTTTCTCATACCACTAAAGAAAGCATTGTTTCCATTGTTTTCCATTGACCCTGGCTCTCAAATAATGCAGTCGAGCAGTAAAATAATGCAGTCATTTAAACTGGTTAAAGATTCCCATCTAAACCCCCCCAGCAGATTGCAGCATTAACTCCCCTTTAACGATGAACTATTTCTGCCATGTGAGGTTTAAATAGTTCCTATCATTTTTCTCATACCACTAAAAAAAGCATTGTTTCCATTTCTTCCCTCCCCTTTTACAACATCCAACCTACAGGGAGGTGGTGCAAATAATTTGAAGGAGGTAAAACAGGTTGGTCACCTTGCTCTGATTATGGAGCCGATCATTTAAAAAGCAACAACACACACCAAGTTTCTCATACTCCGGATTCATCAGCTGAATACGGGTCTACCAGCAGAAATAGCAAAGTAAGAAGTCTTCTCTTTTATTATTGAAACTGTTGTATTATTATTCTTACGTTGTGAACTTGCCCTTCCTGAACCGTCTCTTTATTGTTGTGTTGTTTTTATAATTTTTTTACCTTTGTGTGCACGCTGCCATTTACCATTAACTTGTTACTACTGGTATACTTGAATTTTTAGATTATTACTTGTACTGTATGACCATTCTACCAATCCCTATTATATTTGATCACATTATATATGTTTTATCTGTTTCTGATGCTTCTACAACAAAGACATAAAACATAATATAAAGTTGTATTTTTATGTTATATATTAAACAGTGTACATCTTAACATAAAATACGACAAAATGTTCAGTTAAATATAACTCTCAGCCATATTTCTTCTTGGTAATGCATGAAAAATAATTGCTTATAATAAGCCAGAACCTTGTCATATTTTTTAAAGAGTACTGATGCTTTATTTTCCCAATGCCTTTTCCCTGAATGCATAAAGTATTTTATGCCATTCTCATAATTATTTTTTTTATTTTAAATTAAACTCGGTCACAAGAAGTGATGGTGTTGCTTCTTGTACTCACAAACAACCCTTATTTTTTCTATTAGAGCTGACATGAAGCTGGGTTTGCTAGTGGTGCTGGTTCTGGCAGCACTGCTGCCCAACCTTTCTGAGAGTCGCATTGTGTCCAAATGCGAGCTGAAGGAGCTGATTGCAGAGGCAATCAACAAGACGAGAGGGCCAGATGAGGTTACGGAAGAAATCTTGGCAGAAAGTAAGTTATATAGTTACATTTCATGACAGTAACTTGTGGTTAAGACTTATTTACGCCACAGAAAAAATCACTTGGAAAAATAGATTTAGGAAAAAAATGGCATTTGAAAAAGTAATGATGCTTTCTCAGTTCCACATAAAACTGTTTTAATAAGGTTCTCTCACTTTTGGGAAACAAGTCTGAAATTTATGCAAGACATGTTGTCTTACTTCAGTGGTTCCCAAAGTGTGGGGCGCGCACCCAGAGGAGGCACAGCGCCATTGCACAGGGGAGCGAGTTGTTCATGTTTTAACCCCATTTTGCAAAGAAGCTTTTTTTTTTAAATGTATTGATGATAGCAAAGTTGAATATTGTCATAAATAACAAAAAAAATGTTTGAAATAACACTGACGGCAAAGAAAACTCTTCAGTATAGAACTAAAAAACCAGTTGCACAAAAGTGTTTCACTGTAAAGATGGTTTGTAGTTTGTTTTGATGCAACCTGAAGTGTGAAATAAACTTCAGTGGAGTTTGAAAAGAAAATGTGTGTGTAGGTTTATGTCTGGTTCAACGATGTGTGTGGCCAGTTGATTTTTTTTTTCAGGGGGATTTTATTGTAATCCAGTGGTCCCCAAACTACGGCCCACCTCCACATTTGGTCCGGCACCCTGAACAATACCAGAGAGCATTCAGATTTTTTTTCATATTCCTTATTTTCCGGACTACAAGCCGCTTATATGTGGTCTTTTCTTCAACCACCAGGGGGCTCTTTAGCAGGAAGTGAATCATTGGAAGTCAAAATTGGAAATAAAAGAAGAAAGNACATCCTAAGCTGCTAAAGTCTTTAAAAAATATAGAATCTCAACCATAAACGAGTTTCATGCTCTGCCAGTCTGTCACTTTCTTTGTCATTGCCAAACTACAAACAGGAGAAGACCATAGATCTAAAATCAACGATATCAGCCTGTTGAAATTCTCTGGAAGAAATCCCAGACAGAAAACTGAAGGGAGATGAGAATTGGAAGGAATATGTCGCACTAAATCAGACGCGTATCCGATTGTTTTCCAAGCGTATGCAGGCAGAACGGTCATGTCGCATTTTATCCGACTTTTCTGTCTTTGAAAACACAAAATATCACCAAGTATTTCTGTCTGTTTTTAATGCAAATATCTTCATACGCTTGAAATAAGAGAAAACTAACTTACAAGTAACTTCTCAGCAAGATACAGGAACTTGTTTGAAATGAATAATTCTTTAGTATTGATGAAAAAGTATCAAAAGTATCAATATTAAGGAATTACTGACTTTAAATAAGCTCATATTTGTTGCTGAAAAGTTATTTGTTAGTTTTTTTCTGGAGAGTGATGTGAAGAATGCCAGATCAACATACATATTTAAGAGAATGGTAAAAGTTAGTTTTTTGAAGAAATATGACGTAGCATAATGTGAATCCTTATCGTTTTTTGAGTCGATGTTTTTGTATACGTTTTACTTAAATCTATTGTTTTATTGCATTCTTGGGACAAAAGGGGAAGATATAAGATTATTTTTCCTTCTTTCTGTTGCCTTTCATTTTATTGATTTGTATATTTTCCTCTATTGTATACAATTGTTTTGTTTTTAATAAATGAATAAAATATTTCAAGTGTACTAAGATATTTACACTAGAAACTAGACAGAAATACTTGGTAAGATTTTTTGTTTTTGCAGTGTTTTAGTTGTTATATCTCTTTATCTTTTGTGTTACTTTGATTTTGTGACAATATTTAAAGCTTTGAATAACTTTAAACAGCGGCATCCATTATTACCGCTGTAAACAGTGAGCTGCTCAACACGTGGCTCACTTTGGGAACTTAAACCATTCTGATTGATATTTAATTAGCAAAAAACCCCAAAAATCTCAGCAAAAAAAATAAAAAATAAAAAAATCAAAATTGAACATCAAGACCTGTAGCTTTAATGCTGTTTGTCTTCACTTACAGGGAACTTTCCGCCCAACGTGAGACACGACTGCAGCATTTGAAAACCCGGCCTTATGCAAACCCAGAATGCAAACTTCATCAGACAACAACCCTTGTAATTGTGTGTGATACATAAGACATCCTCTGTGTCCGGCGACTGTCAGATGTTCCAGTGCTGCCTGTATGTTTATACTCAAAATGCCACCATTTGTACTGTTGGGTGCACTTTTCATACGTCATGAACAGAAAAAAGAAATCCAATCCCTGTATAGAAATACCGATGACACAATACTACACAGCGTCTGATTTGTACCTAGAAGTTAATCCTAGGTTATGTCAGCTAATTTGCTTCTTTATTAATTAGACATCTTAGATTATGTCCTGAACTTCGTATAAAGATTTGTGACGCTTGTTAGCTGCGAGACAAAGATCTTCACATGACACAGCAAAAAAAAAAAAAAATCCTGTCAAACCAGTTTTATTATCTGCTTTCTAAGTCAGACAAAAATAGATTTGCATTAATGCAAAACATTTTTGTCGAGTCATTGGACTGATCATTGCACAATGGTGCAGAGCATATTTTAAAGGAAAACAGAGAAATGGAAAAGAATATGATATAAACCAGAGAACTAAGGCCCCGATTACACGACAACGATTTCGGGGGAAAACGGAAGAGTTTTGTTGTGTTTGTAGTGACCATTTACACGAAACCACCGAATGTTTTCTCTGACAACGGCACAGATTGAAAACGGGTTCCAGAGTGCGATGTTTCTGAAACGTACCGTTTTCCGTTGTCGTGTAAACCGAGAAAACGGATCTTTTCTTCCAGAGAATCCCCAGCTCATGCATAGTATGACGCAAAACATAGCTGCTTCCTACAATCCACAGAAGAAGAAGAAACTACTCACAATGCTGGTGTTACTGTTTCCCCATTTTAAACACATGCGCACTTAGTTTCAAAGAACCCTGCAGCAACTAGGGGCAGCGAGACCATTACACGTTTTCGATGTGTACCTTTACTGTGTAAACACAGATCGTAATTAGAACGTTGTCGTGTAAACGCCCCCTAAGACGAGCTGTAACAGATAACATAAAACTATATTCACAAAAAATATTTAAAGGCTATCACACATAAAAGACGATGTGGATCGTCCATATAGCTCATTGCAATCCGACTTCAAATGTGTCAAAAATGTCGAGAACATGCAGAAAAAGACGGCACAAAGGTCAGTTTTTAAGAAAAGGTTCCTAAAGAGGCTTAAGGAATATTTTAAACAGGTTTCAACAACTTTGACGTGTACTTTGTAAACCAAACTGCATCGGGTTAGGGTGTTTGAATAATTAAAAATCTTGAAAATTAACTTTTGAACAACCTCCAGAAGGCTTTGGGAGCTCCGTGGGCGACTTTAGAAGATCACTATAAACAGACTTGGTGATCTCTTTCAGAAAAATTCAAAAGAGGAGATTTGCATTCAAAACTTTTGCATATTGTTTACATTTGAACTCACTTTGACATCAGGTCTCAGTTCAGAACGGTGTAGTGTGATGCTTTATTTGTCTCTGTGTTGATATGAATGAAAAGTAATTCATTTTCAGTTTTTAAATCAGTGCAGCAGTTCAGACAGATTCCACCTCGTCCACTTATGTCTAAAATTGACCCTGGCTCTCAAATAATGCAGTCGAGTTTAGTCGTTTAAACTGGTTAAAGATTCCCATCTAAACCCCCCCAGCA